ACGCTGTCATGTCATCTGATGATAATAAAGTATTGTGTCTAATAGTATTGATGAGCCGAGGAGGAAAAGGTTGTGACCACATACGGGTGGTTTCCATCTGGGAATGTCTTTTTTTTTTTTTAAATTCTGTCATCTTGGTTTATTATTATTTCTACCACTGAAAACGTGTCAAAAAACAGCAAATTTAAAGTGCACCTATGTCTGCATGTCTCTACGAGCTGCTGAGAAAAACAGGTCAGAGCAACAGCTTATAGCAGCTGCTTGGGGTACTGATGTGTTCTTGAAATTGCAAATAAAAGATTTCTCAGATAGCCATGGAAAACAAAAAGGTCACATGAGGCCACACATGTTGGAAAGTGTCCTCAAGCCATGACAGCAACGATCAGAACAGAAAACCTCTGTTGATGAGATTCATCACAAATTAGCACATCCCACATTAAGTATTTAACCGACCACTTGTCATCTCGGCAACATTCATATACATGCCAACTAGCTTTATTTTTAAATTGTGTAATCAGACCACCGTGCACCGTGTGTGTTTACGGATATGGGTTTTTTGTTACATACGTGTGTTGGAGGTACCAGGTTGTATGTGTCAGGTTGAGATATGTGGGTGTGGTGTGATATTTATGCGGCTGTTATTGTTTGGTCAGTTTAGGCTTTTCATTATCGCACTCATTCTCTTCCCGCGGCGCTGTTAAAGTCAGCGTACGTGTGAATTATGATATGTGGGAAAAGCATGCATGCAGTTCCGCATTCAAGATTCGAGACTCAAAACAATTTTGATTTGATTCTTTCCTTCTTTTAGCTGTTAAAATGGCATGATGATAAAGTGAGAGGTTTAAAATATGTTTCCCACAAAAGTTTTGTACTGATGAGAAAAGCCAGGTGGCATTTAAAAATTTGCTCTCTCCCTAAAGGAACAAAATGTCACTTTCTGCCTACACTTGTTTATGAAGCTAAGTTCGTCTGATTTTTAACCGTAAAACTTAATGAGATTTACAAGACATTTTAAACTAGTTTTCATCAATTTAATGACTTTTGACACTTCAACAGATAACATGCCTTTCTTTCACTGAAGTATAAGCAGATTAAATGAACCCAACTTAACCTGCAACAGGACACTGTACTAATTAAGCAAGTAAACTTTAAAAAAATGAAAAAAATGAAAAGAAAAAAAACTGTCCAACAATCTAAAGTTAAAAATTATACTACCTGCATTAAGTTAGCTGCCTAGAGCTCAATAAAATTTGTTTTATCTCTTTCAGCATTACCTTTTCTAATTATATTTTTCTTTTTTTGCAATGTGCAAAGTAAAGACATTCTTTAATGTGACAAAAGTGTAAATGTAGTATATGAAGTTTAAGCATTTAGTCACAAAACAAAACCTAACTTTAATGGAAATATTTTATTTCTTTAATGCTTCTAGAATCTACCTATGTATTTTTTTGTATTTTTGTAATACCTAATTAATGTTTGTATACCCAAAGGTTCTAAAAAAACCCCACTTTAATTAAAAACTAGCTTTAACTTGACACAACTTGGTACAAAATCTTTCAATAAAAATACATCTTTGAGGATGTTTGCCCAGGTAGATTTTTGCTGAGAAATTACAGTAACCCTAGCTTTCTCCATCTCTGTTTTGATATGCCATGTTGATCATTCATCACATAGCATGTTCTCTTTGCAGTTCAGTTTAATCATGTGCAAAAAAAAAAAGATAGAGGAATGTTCTGTTTAATATAAGTAGTTTGCCGTGAACTTTGTAAAGATTAATCACAAGATTTAAAGCAGCATCCCATAGCGCTATCAGTTGAATCTCAGCTAAATATGCTCCAAAATTAAAGTGAAGACTGAATCTGGATTGCGCATGGACATGGATCCAGTTTCAGACTTGAAGAATCACTTGCGTAAATGTTGCTCAGATTACTTTTTAAACCTGCGTCTCCTGAATTATGTCGATGAATAAGTTGCCAGCCACAGAACGAGCATGTCAGTTTTGTTTTGAGACTAGGTCCTCATGGCCTTTCGGATTGTGCAACATGCCAACTTTTGAAGCTTTATGGCGCCAGTAGAGTAAGTGACAGAGTGAACAGTTGATAATGGAGCTGTGATAGCAGATAGTCGTGTCCTACATCTGCCCCTTGTATTAAAACACCAGAGGAAGACAACACTCTACATGCCATGTACCCCAACAGCCTGTTTTGACCTTATGTTCTGCAAGACTTGTCATCTTACTAACACGCTCATGCACAGTTTGCAGTGCAATTCAGTCCCTGCAAGGCTCCCAGGCCCCTCTGGGGGAGTTTAGGTTTCAGCTGTGGATGAGTTAAGTTATAGTGGATATGACAATTAATCACATTGTCTGAACTTGTGAGTTAATTGAAAGCCATGAGGATAAGGTTTGTGTTTTTCACATTTCTTTATGACTGTAAATGTCAGCATGGTATTTAGAGCACAGGGGAGCATTTTCTCCTCGTGCCGTCACTGAGTCAGACGAGTTTTCCGAGGTACCTGATGCTGCTCACACAAGTTTGTCAGGAGCTGGAACGCTCTCCGAGTCTGCGGCTTCAACCTGTTGCCTGACAGGTTTCTCAGCATGATGCTTTGGCATCTCGGGGAGAACCTTAGAGGCAAAGGGGGGGTCCAGAAATATCAGCATTATACCCACTCTTAATGGAAAGAGAGAGAGAGAGGGAAAGAAGGAGGGAAGGAAAGGAAAACAGGATGGAGCGAGAGGAAGATTTTGATATTGAGTTTCCGTTGTGCTTCTTGGGAGATATGATTTCAGGAAATTCAAAATTGTCAATATCTTTTCAAGCCTGTCTCATTTTACAGTTATAAAGACAAACTGTAAACGGCGGTGCCTTACAGATAAACTTCAGAAAGCCATTCATGGCGCATATTCACCACAAACAGAGACCTTTTCTTTAAAGGCTTGAAAGGGTCTTTATGCTCACAGTGATAGGCTCTTTATTGTATTCAGAGCATGTATTCATTCGCTGTTTATTTTGTATTTTTTGGCCCACTTAAACGTCAGAAGAGAATAGACAAACACGCAGTTAATCAACAAACTCAGATGGTTAGTTACCAGCTGGGCACGGCTCTGGCAGCATTTTCCTCACTGTAAAAAAGCTTTGTCAAGACAGATCTCCAGTGTAATTAATACACACACGGTCGCATAGAAAAGGAAAAAAGAAATTCCAATAACAACAAGCAGTGTTGCTCAGGGAAGCTGGCAGTGGCATTTTGTTTTTTTTTTCCTCTTCCCCGTACCACTAAAGAGCTTGCACACATGGTTTGGAAAAGAAAGCAGGTGCAGCTCACTGGAATTAACTCACTTTCACTGCTCTAGTTTTGATCCAAACAATAGGAGGAATAGAGGCTGTTCTATTTTCACAATGTGGCCACTTTGTATGCCTTTGTAGCAAAGGCTACTAATCTTAAGGGCTTACACAGACATACACAGATGTGGCTGCATACCCACATAAAGAGACAGAGACAGGAGGAGGGGGAGGCTGTGTTGCATGAGACAATCCTTGTTGTTTGTCTTGAGTAGATTACCACTTTTGCAGCATATGCAAACGTCTTTAAGCAGACAATAATTTTCTCAGTACCAAGCTCATAATATCCGTCTAGCTAGTTATCTCATACAGCAACTTGCACAAGTGTTTGCCACTGAAGAGTTTAACATCATGTTTCAACCACTCCCTTCAATTTTCTTTATTAGAATTGTACCTGAAAGATGAATACAAGGCACTGTGAAGGAAAAAAAAAATGTAGTTTTAAAACTTTTTACATATAAAAAATATGTTTTACAAATGTTCTACAAACCGACAGGTGTATAAATCCAAGATATCAAAAAATCCAAAATCCTTCTTACTGGTCATGGTGACAGGTGAGGCACTGCCTTACCTGACTGCATGTCCTTACCGTTATAAAATAAAATCTATTTTTAATGCAATGCTTCATCCATCATTCAAATAAAGAAAGCGAGACTTGAGAGTGACAAAAAAAAGTCAACATCAACAGAAGAACACAATTTGCCATAAGTCCTGTAGGTGAGGCAACATGTGAGAGTAGGTGCTCTGGTCAAAGAAGACCAAACTTCATCTTGAAAAATGCTTGGTGGAAAACCAACATTCTGATCTCTCTATGTATGTAATTTGCAAAGGTGAATGAGTAATACAATTTAGTTTGTAAATTGGAGAAAGTTGGAGAAAGTTGTAGAAATCTATCCCGAAACAACTGTAGCTGAAATTGTAATAGAACTCTTGCGAAATACATTTTCAGATTTGTATTTGTGAAAAGAAAAAAGAAAAGAAAAACTCTAGCTTCTGTTTCATTTTTCTTCCACTTTGCTTTGGTCTGTCACAAAAGAATTAAACATATGACAATGTGAAACAATGGAATTAATACTTTGGCCAGACATTTAGAAAACTTAGTTCACTGTGATGCATCAATAACGCATTGAGTAAAATAGTTAGAAAAGCTTTTTTTTTTCTTTCTACCAGACACTTAATTTGTTGGCAGTGGAAACTTTAACTCGCCATATGTTCCACAATAAACCTCTGTGATCTTTGATGTACAAGCAATAACTGATCTTCTTTACCGTTATCTGACTGAGACAGAGTATTTTCAGTTCCTCCTTTTTTTTCTTTTTTTCCTGGTATGGTGGATGGACTGTTACAGTCAGGGTATGTTGAACTCTCAGCAGACTTCACTTTGACTTTAGTGATGTTTCCCTTACAGTGATAGTTTTTGAAGAAGAGATGTTCTAATGACATTTTTCAGGGTCACTTCCTTTTTACAGCAGGATTGGTACATAATCTGTGATTTTTTTTTCTATGTAAAAAAAAAAGAAGCTCAATACATTTGATCGTTATTTTTTTCATTGCAGGATTTTTTTTATTTTTTCATTGCATTTTTTTAAGTCTTTGCATCTTCTCGGCTTTCTTTTAATCTTGCTAATTTTGTTTTCCCTCTTCTCTCTCACCCAGGTGACATTTACAAAGCGAAAGTTTGGCCTGATGAAGAAGGCATATGAGCTGAGCGTGCTGTGTGACTGCGAGATTGCCCTGATCATCTTCAACAGCACTAACAAGCTGTTCCAGTATGCCAGCACAGACATGGACAAGGTCCTCCTTAAATACACTGAGTACAACGAGCCCCACGAGAGCAGAACCAACTCTGATATTGTGGAGGTATGTTACAAGAAAAACACATACACACACACACACACACACGCGCACACGTAAACACATTCCCTGACATGCAAGCTCACGCAAACGCACAAGCAGACAGATGGTAACTGCGCTTGTGACTCATTCAGCAACCCTTACTTCTCTCTTTTAGACTTCACACCTAACAGAGTGCAAGAAATAATTGCTCCCATAGCTTGTTGGTCTTCCCCAAGGGGCTCGGTAGCAATATCAATCATGTTTTTTCTTTTCAGAAAAGGCACTTTAAGCTCTGCAATATGTCATTAATTTCAAGAAAATATTTTTCTTTAAATGGCCTCCTCTTACTGTTTAAGCTTCCCTGCAAACAAGAGGTTGTCTGTTATTGATCTGGACTTCTCAGCCTGTCCCCTGTGGTGTATAATCACTGCACCCTGCCCTTGGTGTCTTGTCAGCATTGATGTGCCTCTAAGAGGAGGATGTTGATCTGACTTCCTCTGGACACTTGTCACCAAAGTGGCTCAAAGCAACGTTAAACAGAGCTGTTGGCCCAGGCACCACAACGCAGGTGGATCAAGCAGGAAATTACATTGTCAGGCTCCTGAAGCTTTAAGCTCCCAACATGAACCTGTTATGCAACAACTGCTTCTGGAGCGCCATCAGACCTGGTGGGCAAAAGACCTGAATGAATACACACAGAGTTTATCTCCTTCTGCCCTTTGCCCTGTCTGCTAATTTGCCCTTGCAGTGCCTTGATCTAATGGAGTAGGCATATAAAGTCATGTAAAGTAAGTTCTTTTTCTTATGAACATCTCCTATACAAGGCAGTCCTTAAAGCGATAATGACTAATGATTTTTATTTATTTTTTTTTTATGTAAGCACATCTAGATTCTGTTAGTTTCAAAATATCCTTTTCAATGCAAAGTTAAAGACAGTTATACACACGGACAATTTTGTTTTATTTATTTAATTTTTTTTAAATGTTATTCAAGCTAAATTTTGACTTTTGTTAAATTAATTTTATGAAACCCGATTTTTCCCTTGTGGTGGAGGAATTTTGGAAGCTGTGTGGCTGTTTTTAATTAATAATATATAGCAGCATAATGCTATGTTCATAATTCATGTGCAGCACATGCATACTTATCTAAATTTTTTTTTTTTTTTTTTTTTTTTTTTTAAGACAAGCACTTAAAAAACACAGAACACATCAGAGGGAACATAGATATTCGTGATTTGTAATGAATGAATATCACACATGGTCCAGTGCCTCAATCCAGATGGCTATGTGATCAAAAAGCATGGGACATATTTTTCTTCCCATATAGCTGCTGCTAGGCTTATTGCCCAGTTAGTAAGTGACAGACTAGTTGTTTGCTGTTACAGACAGCACTCCAGATACAAAATTTAATCAGCTTACATATGTGTACAAAAGTACTTTGGCACTGAAGATTTTTGTCTTATGCTAATACCATTCTTCGTGTGATCAGGCGTTGTCATGTTTAAAGTCTAAAACCAGCATAAACAAACATGTCGCAATACACTGAAACTTCAGAAACGGTTACTGATTTCAGTAGTGCATTGTTTCATAGCCATTTCCATTTGGTAGAGTCAAATGTGAAGAGTGTTGATGCAGTTCCTACATTAAGCACTCAACATATGACTAACCTCAATGATGAAAACAAAGGGAATGAACGCGGTGCATTATCATGGACTGTACTGAAAAGCATGACAATTTATTCGCTTTTGCAGGACATGCTTTATTACCTGCCTATAATTCATGCTAGCAAGCTCTTTTGAAATTTTAATCTGCTTAGGGCCTTATGGATTCTATAAATCACACTAATCAATTTAGGATATACTTTTAAAAAGCTAGAGTCCATTTGAGCAGCAGTGTTTTTAATGCACCCAGCTCTTCGCTGCCGGTGTAGTCGGTGTATAAAGCTGGCCCTGCTGAACCCATGAACAGAGCTGTCACATGTTTCAGCAAGTGCCTGTGACGAGAGTTCTTTGTAGCTCTTTCCTCAACTGTGTCTCCATTAGGGAGCACAGGATGGCTAACGTGTAAACAGCCGTGTCAGGGGAAAGACGCTAAAGAGCCTAGTGGGGGAGAGCGCTACGGAGCACTACCTACAATTTGATCCCCAGAGGACTGTGTGCTTTTTGAGCAACTCACTGCGGGAGAAATCGATCTGAAGAGGCCTCCAGCCTGAGCTGCGGTGAGCTAAAGGGATTGGCCACAGGGCAGACACTAGCACGTTTATTGTGGTTAGGAGGAAGGCGGGGGTTGGGGGTGGGGGGGCGGGTGTCTGAGCAAGGGTCAAGATTTTTCCCTGGAAGCTGTTTGTGATGCTGTTTAGCAACGTCACAGATGTGGGAACGTGGGAGGCTTGTTGAGTTTGCAGGGAGGAAAGAGCAAAGCAGACTTCCTGTTGAGATGAATGGACGATGAGGAGGAGTTCAAGAACAAACTGGAAAGCTGGATTCAGAGCTGTAGATTAACTAACGTTCCCTCATAAGAATGTGTGTCATTTCTTACGTGGAACTGCACAAGCTCTTGTCTTCAGCAGCATGCTGAACTGCATGCATCATTCTCCCTGTATTACTGCTGTGCCTGAAGTTGTAGTGGGAGGAGAGGCAGAGGTAGGGGAACGGAGCTCACAGTGTGGGCGGCTGGCATAGAGACCTGCTACATTAGCAATAAAGCTCTATGTAATTAGCATGTCTTTGGTTGATAATTAGCGTTGTTGAGAGAGTGGCACTAAGAACGTTGCACTGCCTCTCTAGCAACAGCATGTTTACAAGAGGCTCGAGGGCTGATCTCTCTTCCTCCTTTTATTCTTTTTCTTTTGAGTTCAGTTTTCTATTGACCATACATCTTCTCTGGGTGTGTTTTTTATTACTTTATTCTAAGGGTCAGCACATATATATATATATATATATATATATATATATATATATATATATATAATATTTGAAACCAATGGCGGGTTTAGAATGGAAGAAAAAAAAGAAACAGGACAAACTGTCTTGCTGCCTCTTTTTGAAAACATTTTCACCTTGAAGAACACTTCTATAGCTGCATGTGGAAGCAACAACTAACCATAGAACAGTTGTGAGTTTTAAAACTGGACGTATTGCTCATCACACAGGTTATATTTTTGATGGGAGTGTCTTTCATATTTAAACAGACAAAAAAAGTCCATATTACAATGATATTATATACACTGTTTGCAAACTCAGTAAAAAAAAAATTGCATGTGTTAGTTTTCTCAAAGCTTAAAGGGGCATTATTGTTTATGTTCTAGGCACAGGGCAATTTTATCGCACAATCAAGTAAGTATGTTACTTTCAGATGTCATAAAAAGGTTGTATATATATCAAACTTAACTTAAAAGAAATTTGACACCTTGAAATTGACCTGTCTCTTTAAGAAGCTCCTGTTCTTTCCAACACTCTTTTCCAATACCATTCCTAGGAATGGTTGCAAAGTAGAAACTACTGAGAAGTAGTTTGTATGATAAGCTCAGCAGTTGCACAGTTCCAAGAGGTGTTTGCTAATTGCTACTGACACTAGTCTGGAGGAGCAGAGTGGGGGAGGGGCGATCTTTAAGGCCCCTCCCTCAGCTGGGAACTGCACCTATTTCTCTGGAAATAGGTGGCACTTTGTATGATCAAGTGCTTAGGCACCCCAAAATAGATGTCATGGGAAATTCAAGGATTTCTCAAGCATAAATTAAAGAATCAAAACAATACTTAAGGTATGTTTTTGATGAGAGAATAACATTATAACATGATGCAAAACTCAAAAATATTGATTTTACATAAAACCCTCCCTTTAGAATATGGTTGTTTGGAGAAAGAGGGGCGCACCTCGGGTGCTACTCTGGCATTGCTGATTCTCCTAGGAAATTGGAAAGCAGGTCACAAAAAAAAAAAAAAAAAAAAAAAAAAAAAAACATTTTTAAATGTTTTTACCTAATTTTAACAATAATCGGGATCTATTT